GTCAGGTGGAGGGCGGGGAGGGCATGGGCCCCCCCCCCCGGCACAGGCTGCCCGGTCCTGACTGCAGCCCTTGGCCGTGCTTGGCGCGTCAGGATTTCCCCACCTTGCAAAGCTCTCTGCCGGTCAGCACCGCGCTGGCGTTGCAAACAGCCGTGACATGAGGCAGTAGGACAGGGATGCAGCCCCCATAGGGATGAAGTCACTGCAGGACAAGCATCCAGTCCCCTTGGGGTGCAGTCCCCATAGGACAGGGATGCAGTCCCCATAGCGATGCAGTCGCTGCAGGACAGGGATGCAGTCCCCATAGGGATGAAGTCCGCCTAGGAGGACAGGGATGCAGTCCCCATAGGGATGAAGTCCGCCTAGGAGGACAGGGATGCAGTCCCCATAGGGATCCAGTCGCTGCAGGACAGGGATGCAGTCCCCATAGGGATCCAGTCCCCATAGGGCAGGGATCCAGTCCCAGTAGGTGTGTAGCTGGGTTGCAACAGAGCACATGCTCAGCGGGAAATGTCCTTTAAGGTCTCAAAGCATCGCTGTCACTTCCAGATGGTGCTTGGAGACAGATGCAGCATCTGCACCTTTGTTTAGGCACCGGGGGGGTGGGGGAGGAAAAAGGCCTGATTTTTTCTCTCAAGTGAGCAGTTTTAGCAAAACGCAGGGTTTCTCCCCTGGAGGAGACCCCAGGCAAGTACTCAACTCGGGGTTTCGTGGTGGAAGTGCCTGCGGACCCCGTGTCCTGGAGCCTGAGGTGTTGTCCCCTCGGGTGGACCTCCTGCAGGCTGTGGCGGGGGGGTGGGGGAGGAAAAAGGCCTGATTTTTTCTCTCAAGTGAGCAGTTTTAGCAAAACGCAGGGTTTCTCCCCTGGAGGAGACCCCAGGCAAGTACTCAACTCGGGGTTTCGTGGTGGAAGTGCCTGCGGACCCCGTGTCCTGGAGCCTGAGGTGTTGTCCCCTCGGGTGGACCTCCTGCAGGCTGTGGCCGTGCTGTGGCTCTAGCAGAGGC